ACAGTTTTGGTGTAAAAAGCCTGCAATATATCGGTATCGGGTGATATCGGTATCGGAAATTGAGAGTTGCACAATATCGGAATATCGGATATCGGCAGAAAAGCCAATACCGAACATCCCTAGTATTGGCCGATGTCTGTGCTCACAAAGGTGATAAACGAAAGTTCTTCAGACACATCTGCAGGCAACCCTGTCAGTGTGGCTGCTGTGGAACAATGTTAATCCTCCCCTTAGTGAGTTTTGGGAAGATGGTGAAAAAGAATTTCCTGTAGAATAGAACAGAATTATACATGACTTTTCTTTGTTTTGATATTGGCATATATCGGCCATCGCCATCGCACTCTAAATATCAAAAACTTTTCCTTAAGACAAAAATCCTCTCAAATTGTAAATGGTAAATGGACCTGTACTTGTATAGTGCCTTTCTATATTTACAATATGTTAAATATACAGTATAGTACTAACTCCCATGTTTATTGAAAGACCGTATATTCAAAAAAAATTGTTTTCTGCAAACATGTTACTTTGGTGCAGCAGTGCAGCAACTTTTCCTAAAGCTGTGACTTTGAAATGTTCTGGTGCATGAATGAAGACTGTCTTTTGATAGTAACACTTGTGGGCAGTAGGGCGGCATGCAGGGGAGGCACATTTTCTGAGAGTCTACAGCTGACTGTTTTCAACCTATTTAGTCACTGCAGACTCACAGAAACATAGCAACTTAGACTTTGAAAAGCAATAGAATAGACTGGAGTAATATGGTCACATACGCAGGCAGTGTCCTCGTACTGTATGTCATTAGTTCAGTGTTCTTACAGCTTACACAATGGCTGCAGCCGTTGTAGACGGTGCGTGTGAGAGGCGTCCCAGAAGCAGTTCTCCACTCTGCTCGGCTCAAGATACGCAGGAGAGAAAAAAAAGGAAAGCAATTTTACTATGTAGCCTACTTAGCCATTGTAGAAGTGCACAATACATTGGTTAAACTTACAAACTAAAACCTGAAGTAATCAATCACAAGATATATCTGACATTGACTCAGTGTAAATAATTTATTCAATTTAACCTGTATTTTTTAAGTTTTCTGTAGGTTGAGCAAACCACTTATTTCAAGTTATCCCAATTTAAATCAGTGTCCACATCAACAAAATGTGAGCAAGTTAACTAAATCTGGCCCAGGGCATGAACACTATAGCCACTGCTAAAACAGAATTTAATCTTCTGGAAATCTAGAACTATACCTGTCATGGAAACCTTGGAAAACCTGTAAATTTAGAGAGTAGTTTTCCAGGCATAGAAGCACTTGGAAATGGATAAAATTACCAAATATTCTGGTAATAATCAATGTTGTCCTGGAATATTGTGGAATATGTTACGGTTAGAGGAAAACTAGTCAGTTTGAAAAGAGAGGAAATCAGCTGGGGTGAGAACACTCAAGCACGCCACAAAAGCGAGCTAACAGTGTCCCCTAAACAATGCCCACCTCTGGCTGACCACCGTTTAGTGCTGTCCTGTATTATCAAGAAAAACTCCTGGTAGATGTCCTGGAAAATGATTTCCTAAAAAGAGAACTGAAGCTGTTACTGTTACACACCCTCTTGTATGTATTAATGAGTACAGTGTTTGTGAAATCTCGTCTCCCTGCTGAACCCTAAATCAGTCATGTGAGACCGTGAGTGAAGGACTTAAGCTGAATGAGTTCCTGATTGTAAAGTGTGGGGATTATGCTGAAGGTCAGAGATGGTTCAGCTCTAAAATATTAACATCACAGCTAATACGCTTAGCTATGTGCCCTTTACTTTCCATCCAGTGGATAGCCTGGGTAGCATTCACACTGTGTAGTTCAACCTGCAGGACTGCAAGAGATGTTTGGACCTGGTATTTGTTGTGTGCAGGTTCCTCAGCACTGCTTATTTGTCTCCCTTTTTAAATGGTCCATGTCTCTATCTGTTGAGCATGTCACGCTTCAGTCTGTCCACTGCCGATGTCAATCTTTTATCTATGTGTTTTTTTCCTCTCAGCGATGCCTTTGACTTCCAGTTTGGTGCTGTTATTCTGCGACTCAAAGAGGGACTGGACGTGTCCCATATCCAAGGACAAGGTATCAAATGATAAACGCGAACGCATAAATACACACACAACATGGCTGCAGAGAAGTGTTGATATCAATATGATTTTTCAAATATTCAAATGTTACACAAAATGGCAGATCCCAAGTTCTTTCCACATATATTAAATCAGATAAACTGTTATTTAATACATGTCAAAACCTGATATTCAAATTAAAGTGTGTATAATTATAGCATGAACAAGGAACGTTCTATTGTCACACTCCCATAAAGTTGAGGTACCCGTGAGAGACAAAAAGAAGTGGTCAAAAATCGAAACAGCAGAGGTATGGGGTGATCAACAAAAATGCTGCATCCTACATTTCCTGTAATGCAACATGATAGTATATTTTGTTGATTTTATCATGTTATCTCACTCAGCTTGGGCTTGGAGTCCTTCCATCTGAAGTCTTTGAGTAGAGTGACTGAAACGGCTGTTTGGTTTCTCATCTATGTCTGTGAATTAAGTGTTTATTTCAACCAAACCAAAGGTGGCTGTTGGAACAGTGGAAAGACTAACAAAGCGGTTTTGATGAGTTTTGTTTAGTTTCTGTCCACTTTGAATAAAGTTACTCTGATTTGCGAGGTAAAATTACTTCTTTCTTTTTTTGGATGGATCCTGGTGGCGAGTGAGATCGATAAATCATCTGTTTCTGGTTAAACTTTTTAACAAAAGGTCTATCTCTGTAGGGTTACTTTCTATAATGTTGTCAGACACTTAGAATAACAATCTGAGTCTGTCGATGGGAGTACTTTGATGGACAAATTTGTCCCCAAGGATTGTGTTTCTGCCATTTCACCGTTTTTTCATCTAGATCCTTTCTTTCTGCTAGTGTTGCAGTGTGGCTCAGCTTTACCTCAGCTGGCCTCTACAGAGCAGCACTTAATAGTTATGAATCAGAACACTCTACTTGGATCAAGTAGCTCATGAAAGTAAGGTGTGTCAGAATAAGTTGTCTACAGCTGTTTTTTTTTCATTTTATCTTTATTTAGAATCACATATCAGCACTTAACACATTCCGCATAGTTTGATAGAAATATACAGTGATTCATCTTTACAATTTTTTTTTTTTTTAAATATACAAATATGAACAGAACATGGGGTGTTTCAAAATGGCAAAAAGAAAAAAAAACATACTAAGAAGAGAATAAAATAAGAAATTACAAGCAGTTAAACAAAAGAAGGGCGTTTAGGAGCAATATACATTTTCCACTTTTCCCAAATTTCCTCAATCTAGTTTTCTCTAGTCTCACAGAAAAGGTAATTCTTTCCATTACATAGATTTCGTAAATAATGTCATACCATTCCTCTATAGATGGGCCATTTGGCTTAAGCCATTTCTTTGTAATTGCTTTTTTAGCAGCTACACTCAGAATACCAAACAAGTATTTTGTTTTATTATTTACAGATGTTGAGTGTAAAAAAAACAAAGAGAAGTTCGTCCCAATTAAAAGCAATTTTCGTTCCAAATATCATGACTAATTCTGTGTAGACCTTACGCCAGAAAGCATTTACAATTGGACAGGCCCAGAACAAGTGGTAATGGTTTGCTTCCTGAGAACCACATTTAACCACCATTTTCTCCGCAACTGGAGGGAACCCTGAGTTTGGGTGAGACTGGCTGAACAGGATGAAATAAATATCCTGAGACCTTTCCCAAGCCAAACCACTCTCCAAGAGATTGAAAGCTTGATATCTTTCCATTGCATTCACAATATTTGGTCCAGACCCCCTCTGTGATATGCAACTGTTGGTTTCGCTTTTCCATTTTGTTTAATGTAGAATGTTTAGTATTTTGTCTTAAACTCATTGGAGTCCCCCTTATAAAAAATTTGAAATTATTTTAAAAGCCCTGAGTTCCGACTCTGTAGGCACTAATCAAATTTTTAACAATTAATTCTCAAATACTTTTTGGATTCCTCCGGAATAGACTATTTATATGAAGTGGTCATGAACCTGAAGACATATCTAAAGAAAGTCCAATTGGTTTTAAACCATGGGTAGTCCACTCCTTCAATGCGCATCAAAATGTTCCACTAGTCCCTCTGTTAAAAAAGGTTGCGTATGAGGGAGAAAAGCCAGGCTTAACACATCCTTTTATTAGCTGATATCTATGTTATTTGGTATAA